ATTCTTTCTTTCTTTCTTTTCTTCGTCTTCTCCTCCTCTGCGTCTTATTCTTTCTTTCTTTCTTTTTCTTTCTTTCTTTCTTTCTTTCTTTCTTTCTTTCTTTCTTTCTTCTTCATCTTCTTCTTCTTCTTCTTCTCTGCGTCTTATTCTTTCTTTCTTTCTTTCTTTCTTTCTTTCTTTCTTTCTTCTTCTTCTACTTCTTCCTTCTGCTCCTCTGCGCCTTATTCTTTCTTTCTTTCTTTCTTTCTTTTCTTCGTCTGCTTCCTACCAATCTGAAATATATTCATGTATCTTTGTGTCTCTCATCGTCTGTCTATTTTCCTTCGTCATCTGTTCACCTCTCTCTTTAAAACTCTCCGATTTCAAATACCCCCCCTCTCTCCAACCACCAACCAACATCTTAACCATTTGCTCTCCAGGTTCGTTTTCATTCCCTTGGTCTATTTTAATTTCAACCATGCTCTCTCTTTCATTCCCCCCCTCTCTCTCTCTCTCTCTCCTTCCTCTTCTATGCATCTTCCTCCCCTTTTATCCGCCCCTATCTCCCTCTTCCTCTATCTCACTCCTCCCAACTCTAACCATCTATCTCTTTCCTCTTCTATCTACCCTCATTTCTCACTCCCCTTATTCTATCACCTTCTCTCTCTGCTTCTGCATTCACCTCTTCCCACCATTGTACACACCACTCTGTGGAACCGACAATATGCCCCTTACTCTGTAACTCTCTACCTCGAATGGCACTCGGGCCTTGTACACGGTAAACCTCAATGTAATATATATATATATTTCAAATATTTTAATACTTAATATTATATACATTATACATAATTATATATGCTTCAAATATTTTAATATTTAACTTTTATTTTTGACAGACTTTATCATCCCCATTTCTATCTATCTATCTATCTATCTATCTATCTATCTATCTATCTATCTATCTATCTATCAGTATTTTACGTCTAACAATCCGTTTCTCCAGATATATTAACCATAGCCTGTTCTTCGACACTCGTTCATACCGTAAAAGTAATAATTCCATTATGGTTCTTATTTACCTACCAATCAATGATTAATCGATTTATCTAAATAACTAATGTTCTCACTTCTTCTTCTTCTTCTTCTTCTTCTTCTTCTTCTTCTTCTTCTTGTATCAGATCAAGTCACGTGGTCAAAAATGAAACGCTTACGTACATGTCTGTATCTAAAACGTTATGTTTAAAAGTTTTAAAACCTGTTACTAACGGAATTCTGTTGACCAGTATTGAGGAGTTATCTTATTAACCTTCAATGTTTAGAGATTAATCATTTTGCACAGTCTTTATTAATGAAACCATTATTGCGCCAATGTCAGATGTTTCTAGCAGATAACAATATACGAGGTTTGGCTGAAAAGTTCTACATCTGACCAAGATTTAAATGTAATTAAAGTCTCCAGTTTGTAAATAATAAGACATGCAAATGTTCCAGACTACAACAGCTGGTATATTACGTTTGTATATATCTACATAGAGTCTCGCCTAGTATTAGGGAATGAAAGTTTAAATGTCAAAACTTTCCAATTCTACAAAATTGATCGCCATAAAAATTGTAGAAAATATTCTTAAAATCTTCTTCTGCACTCTTGAAAATTTGTATAAAAAAGAACCAAATATGAAGAAAGTTATAGAAGAAAAAACTTTCATTACAAAGATGTTTAACGTCCAAAATTTGTGCTCGTAAAAATACATTGACGTGACAAAACTCATGAGGGATACGCCTTGGCTCGTGTATGACTCACTCTAACCGGATAATGACCTGGTATCAATTCTATAAGTTGTCGGAAAACATCTGAAGTGATGTTGAGCCAAGCCGTTTCGGTAATGTGTTCACAGTTTCATGATATTTGTAGTAGCATGGTGTTGCGTGCGAATTTATCTCCCATACGTCCCATAAATGGTTCATTGAACTCGTGTCGGGTGAACGTGATGGTAACACTATTCATTAAACATTTCCAGTATTCTCCTCAAAGTGGTAACTTGGGCAACCGATGTCACGGTAGATTGAATAATCCTTTGTTTTGGAGGTACATGAAAGAGTTTAAATAGTCCTGAACCAGTGTATCATTGTAGTCACCGATCAAGTAGATAAATCTTGAATTCACACTAGATGTGTTTTCAGTGTCACTTGTCTTTTATCAAAAACAGTTCTAGTCAGACGTCTATCGACAGAATTATTAAGGACACGATGTCGGTCACTGCGCTGTCTACAGTAGGAAATAATGCTGTCCAGCAGTTATTCTCAGAAAATTATGCCCCATTAATTAAGGTTAACTTACCATGAGCAGTAGAGTCGATGGTCAAAAACTCCCTCACCCGCTATCAAAGCATAATTGATGATAATCTAGACATTTCTATGATATGAACGTATCCTGGCACCAATTAGGATTAGCATTACATCCTTTAAGGACGTAGGCGATCATGGCTCTCCATTTTCCCCTATCTTTTGTTGCTCCCAATATGTTATGTCCTTTTGCTACTTCCCCCAAACCTTGTTCCGTTGTTTCCTTTCTCTCTATCCGCCTTGTGAGTATCAGATTCTACAAGCTCTCCTTTCTCATTACGTGTCCAAGAAATTTCAGCTGCCTCTTCCTGATGTTAATTATAAGCTTCCTTCTTGTTTGCCTCTTCTCCAAAACCTCATCGTTGCTCACATGTTTGGTCCATGCTATGCTTAGCATCTTTCTGTAGAACCATACCTCCGTTGCCTCGAGACTCTTCTTCATCTTTGAGGAGACCGTAAGTCATTAACTGACGTAAAAATATTACGTATCAGTTCAGTAATCTTTTCTTTGTTACCAAGGAAATCCTCCTGTCTTATAATATTCTGCTTAGCTTAGCGTCTTTGGCCATTCCAATACGTCTTCAGATCTCAGTGTCGCACTTACCGTCCTCTGTTGGAACACTTCCCAGATATTTAAATTTCCGCGCCTGCTTGATTTTAGTGCTCCCGACCTGTAAATCAAATTTCAGGCTCATCTTTTTAATGATGACCATGCATTCTGTCTTCTTATAATTTATGCGTAGTCCCTTCTTCTCGCTCTCCTTCGCTACCTTCTGTAGAACGTTTTGTAATTTCTTTTCCGTGTCTGCTATCAGCACTGTGTCATCTGCGTATCTTATGTTAAGATTATGGCCGCCAATGGTAAGATTTCCAGTTCTCTCAGAATTGCCTCGCTGGATCGGTTGACTAAGTCCGGTGAGAAGACACGCCCTTGCCTTACGCCCATTTCTATTTTTGTATATCTGCTGAACACATTCTCTATCCGCATGCAGACCGTTTGCTGCCAGTATAGGTTCTTTATTATTATTATATCTTTCCCAAATACACCAAGGTTGCTGAGCAGTTCCAATAGATATTTGTGGCATACTTCGTCGAATGCCTTTGCATAGTCTATAAAACGTAGTTTCACGTCCTTCTGCATTTGTATTGCTCTTTCTGATAACATTCTGTGCATGAATATAGCTTTTCTTGTTCCGGAATCTTTGTCGAACCCGCACTGTTCTTGTCCTATCTGTTTTCCTGACCTGATTCTTCTGCGCGCTCTCTTCATCAGAATATGGATAATGAGTTTTGTTATGTGACTGATTAGACTGATTGTTCGTTAGAGTTCATATTCGTTTGCACCTGGTTTCTTAGGCAGTACTATGAAAAGAGATCTGCTGAGATCTTCCAGTATATCCCCACTATTATAGATTTCATTTATTATTTCTGTAATCTATGCCAAAATCATCTAAGGCTGTCAGCATTTCTGTTACAGTTCCGTCTGGCCCTGCCGCCTTGTTTCTGTTCAATTTCTGTTCAAGTGCACCTTCTACTTCGGTTTTCAGAATGTCAGGCCCGTCGGTAGTTCTGTATATTGTTGGTTGTTTACTTTTCGTTCCAGCGCTGAAGAATTTGTCCTTTCTCTAATATGCGCATTCCATCCTTGGGTTTTATGCAGCCTGTTGACAAGCATATCTTCTGTCCTGTTAGTTCCCTTATTTGTTTATAGATATCTCATTTATCTGTGGTACTCAATCTCTCTATTTCTGCACATTTTTCATTTAGCCACTCTGTTTTACCTTGCCTGCATTTGGTCCTTATTTCGTTGTGTAGTTATCTGTATTCCGTTCCGTATCTTGACAGAATTTTCTGTCTCCTTTGCATCATGTCGTCTGTGATCCATTCGTTTTTTCTTCGTCGGCCATTCTCCTCTGGGATGATATCGTTTGCTAATGTCCCTAAACCTTCTCTTAACACGTCCCATTTCGAGTTTTTTTTTTTTATTTCCATTGTGTTCCTCGTATCTTCTTTTCACACTGTCCATATATTTTTCATTCAGGTTTGGGTCGCTCAGGAATTTGCTGTATTGCAATTTGGGTGCTGCGTTAGGCTTCTTCAGTTTCCGTAGTTTCCCTCTTAGTTTACATAAAACAGGGCGATGGTCGCTTCCGCAGACGGCTCTTGGGTAGGTTTTGCAGTGAATCATTGCATTTCTCAAATTTTTGTTGATAGTTATGCAGTCAATTTGGTTTTTAGTTTCTCTTCCTGGACGCCTCCATGTCCATAATCGTCTCGGATGTTCTTGGAACCATGTATTGGCTATTACCTGGCTATTGATCGTGCATCCTGAAGTCGAGACGTATTTAGAGTCTGCTATACTTAGATGACCATAGATTCGAAGTTAGCAAGATTAACATGAAATTCCAATTGTAAGAAATAGGTAGAAATTTTTTCGCGTCTACATTATGAAATAAGGTCTGAATTTTTGTTTAGGGGTTATTTTGTTTTTAAATGATGTAAGTAGCTTCTTTGTTTCCAACTACCTTCTGTTATTTCTATAAATTTGTTTGGGTTGGCTTTCTTTGGATTAAATTATATACGCATACGCGCATGCGCACCAAGCTACTTCCTTTGGATTGTATTATGTTATACAGTGTGCGATGGGTAAATTGTCGCCAGTTTATATTTTTAATTTCGGGCAGGCGCTTTTTTGGTTTTTGATTTTCTCGACTGCACAGTATAGTGGGGTCAATTGGGTACAGTCTGTGAGGGAAAAAAGCACCAGGACGCAATTCACACCGCCAGAAATTTGGAAACGGTTTGCTGCAATGCTTGGCATTCGCACCAGAAGCTCCAACACGAACATTTCAGAGTGTTTGAGTGTCAATCTGAGGACTGTGCAGAGGATTCGGATGAGTTGGATGATTACGAAGGTGTTTGGAGTGATCAGTAGTGATGGCGACGTTATGCCTCCATGCATCTTCCTATAAGGAGTCACACTCAACACGTAGGCCTACATCAAGTGCCTTGAGGAGTTAGTGCTGCCCTGGGTCAAGAGAGTGGCCGCTGGAAGAGCGTATGTCTGACAACAGGAATCTGCACCATTCCACACAAGCAAGAGAACCTAGTGATGGCTGTCAGAAAATTTTCCCCTTACATCTGGCAATCGAACTCCTCAGATAAACTACAACTCCCTTGGTTATTATGTGTGTGGCGCGGTTGAGCAAGAGACCAAAAAAACTCCTTTCAACACCAAAAATGAACTTAAGGCAAGGATTATGGCAACATTCACCAACTTAAACAAGGATATCGCCCAGAAGAGTTGCAGGAGATTCTGAAGTCGTCTGGAGTCAATGGTGATTTCATTGAATAAATTTACTCTTTAGATTTTGTATGTGTTTAAATGATTTCTTATGGAGCTGTGGTCGGATAAGTCATCTGGTTAAGGGTTAGCTGTTTTAGTAGAAAAAATAACATCACTGCAAAATCAAAACAACAAAGGACTAACATTTTTTACGAGTTCAAATGTCCCTTAAGGAACTGTGTTTCTGATCAATCAAGTCATGAATAATTACATCGGTCACACTACTACAAAAACCTACCGAAACATAGCAGTAGAAAATGCAAGCATAATAACCTCATCCACGGGCAATAAAAAACAA